AATTTGATGGAATGGACTGAATTAAAGGTCTGCTATATTTTATACTTCACCCTCTGAAAGACTACTAGGAGTAACTCTTGAAGCTCTTTTCTGACCTGAGCAAATCATGTCGTATTTCAGGCCTACTTATAGTGTGCATTAGAAGTTAGTGAGGATGATCTCTGTTTATGCAACTACCCTTGGAAAAACGCAGAAACTATTGTATTTGGTGTTAAAAACATGTTTATTGATATTTACTGAGGTGTCAAAACAATTAAATTAAAGGGTACGGGCAGGCTTCAATGTTGTCTTTATGGGGGAAGTTTGCAGAAAACAATATTTAAAGTTTTTGCAGTCGTTTCAAAAAATAAATAAAACTTGGATGGAAGCATTAAAATTTCAAGACAGCAATCTTAATTTTGGCATAAATACGTATTTCTTTCGATTTCAGAAGGTCTTTTTGTGTAAATTAAATTTTTAATGTTCGTCTTGCTGTATTTCTGCAGGGAACATGCATGTGTCTCTGGCAGAAGCCTTGGAGGTTCGAGGAGGTCCTCTCCAGGAAGAGGAGGTCTGGGCAGTGCTGAGTCAGAGTGCAGAGAGCCTCCAAGAACTTTTTCACAAAGGTAGGTGAACATGGAATCAAAGGTAGAGGACTTATTCTGTCATCATCATGCATTACTATGCAATCATATCAGTTTGTAACTTTAAAAAAACTGATAAAATTTAAACAACATATGACTCAGAGGAAGTGAGTCAGCAGACATTGCAGTCCCTGGGTGTTAAGACAAAATTTCATTGCACCTGATTACATAGGGCAGGACTGTGTCAAATAAACTGTCAACCACTGACTTTGTGCATTTCTACAGTCTGCATGAACCAGCTTGAGTTCAACTTCTAGTTTTTCTGATTGGTTTCATTTCCAGACAGTACTGGTAATGCTGTAATAACCCTCTCTTATCAGCGTAGCCTGCAAATATTTAACATTAATTACAAGCAATCTATGTTCAAATACTCTTATACAGACATTTATTGTCTTGTGAGATAAACCTCTGAAGATATTAAGGACAGGAATGAAAGACTGATATTTGGAATATTTTTGAAAAAAGTAGTCTTGACATGGCATTGATGTACCAGTTATTTATGATATTCTCTTCTAATCAGAGATATTTGAGGAGAGACACAGAGTGAATCCTGGTTTAAAGTCTTTTCTTTCAGAAGTCCTGATGCAGGAAGCATCTCTTCCCGTGGGAAGAACATTTGGGGCATGTCAACATACCTTTTAACCAGTTCTATCAGAGCTGACTTGTGACTCTATACATGCGGTTTCTGTCTCATGACCACTGAAATTGTGGTTGATTTATATAATAGTTCAAAAGGTGAACTAGCTAGGTGGTAAGACTTGTAGGAGAACAATGATATGAATGCACCATAATGGTGGCACGGTGGTTAGCACTGCTGCCGCACAGCAAGAAGGTCCTGAGTTCAATTCCACCATCAGGCCGGGGTCTTTCTGTGTGGAGTTTGCATGTTCTCCCCGTGTTTGCGTGGGTTCTCTCCGGGTACTCCGGCTTCCTCCCACCGTCCAAAGACTTGCAGCTTGTGGGGATAGGTTAATTGGATAATCCAAATTGCCACTAGGTGTGAATGTGAGTGTGAATGGTTGTCTGTCCCTGTGTGTTGGCCCTGCGACAGACTGGCGACCTGTCCAGGGTGTACCCTGCCTCTCACCCTATGACAGCTGGGATAGGCTCCAGCACCCCCCGCGACCCTGAAAAGGAGAAGCGGAAGCGAATGGATGGATGGATTGTGTAGTTGTGTTGCTATGCTGAGTATATTTTTAGTTGGATAGTTTTAGACTGCATAGAGAAGCTACAATTTAACTAGCAAATGTTGAAGCCAGCTGTTATATAGTTAAAAGCTATGTAAGACAGTTTATGACAGAGTGGATTAATATTAGTAACCATTTAACTTTAATATTTGTGTTGGATGTTCTCTTAGATGAAGTTGGCCATTTATGACTAGAAACACTTTAAACAAAGAGAAAACAATAGGTTTTGGTTTGGTTTCTTTGGTGAAGTGTGTTAGATATTTGTTTTTTGCACCAGATTTGTCATTGTCTTTGTGGTTAAAGGTAGGGTGAAGATTTTCCACCACTCTGAGTGTGCTAATGTGGTCAAACACCACTAGCACAGGTTTTTTTTTTTTCCCTCTTGTGTAAACAGTAGTGGTTTGTATATTTGTATAAGAATGATTTGTTTGAATACGTGCTGGGTGAGTGTTTCTAATTTGTTGTAGGAATTTCTCTTCACGGTCCCATTTATATATTAGAGGAGTGCCTCAGAGATTTGGTCTGATATAACATGATAGCATAACACAGTTGCTGTCGATTTCTCTGCTGCACATCTCTGATGTGAGTCTCTCGTTCCACCACCGTGGATTGAGTTCTGGTGACTCAATCAACGGTGATAGATTGAGTCACCAGATCAGCCGTTCAATAATACTAAAAATAGGCTGTGAGAACCAAATGATGCTTAGCTAATACAGTATGTAAGGGAGTATTTTTGTCTGACCTGTACTTCTCACTGGATATTTTCTCTTTCTTGAACATTTCTCTGTGAAGCATAGAGATGGCTGTGTGGGGAAAATCCCAGTAGATCAGCAGTTTCTGACATCCTCAGACCATCCTGTGTGGCACCAACAACCATGTAACATTCAGAGTCACTCACCTTTCTTACATATTCTGATGATCTCCTATGGGTCTTGACCATATCTGCATGCATAAATGCACCGAGTACCCAATGGCCAAGTTTTTCGGATAAGTAATTGCAGATTTACACAGACATATAATGCATATCAGAGAAAGTAGTTTATACTCCAGTTAATTTTCATTAATTTTCTTTTACTACTATGTAAACCACTTCACTTTGAGATTTTATTTGAGTAAGAGTGACTTGAGGACCTGGGGCCTCTTTGGGGGGGAAAAAGTTAAGTGGTCAGTGTTCTTATTAAGAACACAAATTCAGTTTTCTATTAAAGAAGAAATAAATGAATGAGAGCACATGCTATCAATTTCAGTTCCTAGAAACAAAATTGGATTCAGAAAAAAATCAGGATGGACACTCAGATGGCCAAGAAAATTCCAGTCGCTGTATCTTCAAAAGCAGTTCTTCTTCATCTCTGGACTCATTGTAGGAATGGTTAAGGGGAAAAAAGCTTGCACATGTGTGTTCAAAATATCAGCTACCATGAGTCTCATTTTGTAATGCTTGCTTGTCAAAAAAACATGCCAGCACTGATAAAAAGGCATTGTTTAGCTTAGAGGCATACGATTCTGATGAATTGGATAATTTGGTACCGGCTCTCAACTGGATAAGTTGCTTAGTTCTCATTCCTAGCTGAATGGGCTATAAATATAGCTGTTCAAAATTATTTCCTGTTCCTTAGTTAGCAGTTCAAAAGGCTAAAAACGTACATTTGAAGATGGTAGGTTATGTTATGTTGCATTGCATGGTGTTCTGTTGGCTTGACAAGCACTATCCTTCTAGCATGATTTCTGCATATATCTGCAATGTATTAAAATTTGTCATGAAATGCATGTGCTCAGGCTGAGTCAGTCTGGTCAGCAAAAGCTTCGCATGGGATAGACTTACTACTAAACCAGTTACTTTTGAGTAAGATCTTGGTCACATGAGTTTTTAAACAGGAAACTTGTATTTACTTAGTAAAAACCAGCTTTGCCTCAAATCAAATTCCTGTGTTCGTCTCCCTGCTCCTCTCAGAGTTAACTATCAGTCAAAGAAAAGAATTTTGCAGCGCTGCTTAAGCATTCCTTTGTGTATTTTTAAAACCTTCTCCCACCATCGCACTGGCTGTGGCTTTTTAGGAAAAGAGAATTACGCTGTGTGGCCATTCCTTTCTGCAACCATGCCCCAACAGTTATTTTCTTGCCGACTAAGAAAGCAACATGTGTTTTTGTTTACTTCAATAATCTTGAATTTCCATAAACGCCAAAGCCATAGCGAGAAACATCCACTGTGGTTGGATATGTGTACAGTCACTGGATCCAGGCTGTAAAGGCTTAGACAAAATTTGATGCTAGTATGAAGCTTAAAAACACAGATCTTGACTTTAACGCTGTCCTTGTGTGAATATGTGGGAATGGCTAAGAATTTATGTGAAGAAACTATGATTTATTTTTATTTTTTTCTGCTGTTCAACTGTGATGGCAAGCTAATCATTGAAATGTTATTTCCATTTCCAGACCCTTCAGCCATGGGCTTCATTATATCTCCCTGGTCCCTCCTGCTCATGCCATCTGGCAACATCTCATTCACAGACGAGTATGTCACCCAGCAGGACTTAAGGGCCTTCACAGCACCAGAGGTCCTGAAGGGGAACTCCTTGACTTCTGTTTCTGACATAGAAAAGGTATAAACCATGATAATACACCACGTGGCGACAGCATCTGCCAAATTGTTTAGTCTACGTGTGTCTATGCTCTAATCTTTTGTTGTTGCCCATATTTTTAAGTGAAATCTTGTGTTTAAACTAAACATTCATTTCGAACCATCACTTGGTGTCATCTAACCAGTCAGTGACTGTTGAGTACCCCTTGTTGTAAACATAGCCATGTTTACATTCGCTCTTTCTTACCAAGTCATGTCGGTTGTATCCTAACTAATGACATAGGTGCATTTTCTCCCTTAAATGGAGATTTTTTTCTTTTTTCCTTTTTTTTTGTCAGACATGCTTAACTTTTCTGCCTTTTGGTGGTTTGTTGGCACAAAACCATTAGTTTAATAGCCTGACACTGGCTAGAGAAATATGTGTCAACACCTGTGTGCTCATCGGGGGGTTTCCTGCACAAAGGAATTTTTTAATTATCTTTCCCAAAGATGTTTTGGCAGAATCCAAAAGAAAATCACCATGATTGTAAGAAAAATGTTTATAACTTGCTTTGTTTATCGGTTTCACGTACTCAAGCATGATGAATAATTGTTCATTAAATGGTTAGAAATGCTGTGGAAAGGTCACATTACTGTGAAAGGTTTACATATACTTTGCGTCTTTACTGGCAGACAGATCTTCCTTACGTGCATAGCTGTGTGTCGTGCTTTCTTTTTCTGTTTCTTTAAGATCCTGCCTACGTCATTTTGCTGATGCTAGTCATTGTTTTCCTTAGCATCCAAAGTTTCAAAAGACACGCAAATGACATGCTCAATGGAAAACGAACAAATAAGGCGGAGCTATTTTTGTTCTGTCTGTATTGTCGATCACGGTTTTTTGTCTTTGTTTTTTTTAGATGTCTTGCGTTTTTAAAGTTTTGTACATTTTCTGTATTTAGTACATTTAGTCTGTTTTGCAACGTTTCGTGTTAAATGTTGGGTATAGATGATACTATTAGTCAGTGTGTATGGTTAGAGCATTTCTTCACTGGAAAAGCAGAGACGGCATGTAGACGATTCAGATTTGAAGTTGTGAGCGATCACAGCACACCCCCTCATTTTAACTCTGCCTCTCTGGTGAAGAGCAAAAACCTTGCATGACTGGATTCCCGTCTCTGGCACAGACCCACAGACCTCAACATGGTTTTTTGCTGAGTCAGTTTTCCAACCCTGGGCCTGTCTCCCCAGCTCAGTTATTTCAGTGTAGAGAATATGATCTGTTTCCTTCATAATCATACTGCGGATAAACATACGTCATGTGCAAGTTTTCCTTTTGCTTTTTTGACATATAGAGGTCATATTGTCACTTTTAATCGACAACGTCTAAGGTTACACGTTTTCTGAAAGTGTTAGTGTTTCTTTAAATTTGTACTCTGTGATGTGTTCCTAAAAGACCTTGAAGGCAACGTTGCATTCTTTGGCAGGCGCTGAATTATTCTTTCCTCTACCAAGCCCAACATTCAGGGGAAGTAATTTCTCTTCCACGCAACGAGCGGAGAGGAGTAAGGAGGGGAAAATGGAAAAATATTTCTGGATTTAGGTTGAGAGCCCCTGTCCTTTATTCCCCCTCCCCCGCCTCCCCTAAAAACTCTTAGCAGTTGTTGAGCCTTAGTCCATTTATCTTTGACTTGCTTTCAGGTTTTGTGCCTCATCTTTATACATATATTGTTATTATTATTTACTGTTGCATGCATTTTGTCTTGAGTGAATGAAATATAATGTGGTGTTATTTTTCACAGATGCACATGTACTCTCTGGGGATGACCTTATTCTGGGGGGCGGACTATGAGATCCCCCATAGTCAGGTAAATCTTTAACACAGATGCTTCCTTCCAAATGTGCAGAGCAAGGGTGTCAAACACATGGCCTGGGGGTCCAGAATGGCCCACCAAAGGCTCCAATCTGGCCACCTGGACAGCTTTGGATGTGGAATTCTGTGTACACTTTAACAAAGTCTTATAAACTACAAGTATATATATTTTTATATTCAGTGAAGTGAATATACATTAAAAAAATCTTAGTTTGGATAGTAGCACATTTTAAAGTGTAGAAGTGATACATTGTTGCCTGTGTGAGACTGGACTAAAGATATGACATCAGGTGTTTAAATGGCACACTTGGCAAATACAGCAAGTGTTGAACGGGTTTTACTGGAAGAGACACACCTGTGTTTGTCAAGGTTTAATAGTATCTATCATGTTGAGCATTGTGGAATTACTTAAAATTCAGCTGTCAAACCTGCACAGGCATGCTGCCGAAATGGTGGAGAACAGTGGAGTAGGAGAAAGTAGCGCATGTCCCTCTATTGTTGTACCAAATACTTCCACAGATACCTGTATATACATCACCAATGAGGTTTCAGGCATATCTGGCTTTTTCCAAACTATGATCTTCACATCTAGATAAGAAATGGAAGAAAAGGTAAGGGCACTCTGGAATTTACAGAGATGGTTTGAAGACATGCTCATATCTTGACCAGAGTCAGTCAGGTATAAAAGATAATCTGCACAGCGTGCTCACTATTGTGAGAAAATACCACCCACAGTTTAGAGGCATCTCACACTCAAGTTTGCCATCTGCTCGGCTTCACTGAAAGGCTGAGGCTCCATCCACTCTCATCCATCCACATCTCATCAGCCTTTCCTGTCACCCTTAAAAGTGCTGCTGCGCGCACTTAAAACACATAACGCTATGTCATTCTACTCAACTCTCCAGTAGAATAGGTAAAGAAATACTTTGTTCATCCCGTATTTTGAAAAATCCCATGATATATGGAGGAAAAAACTAAATCAAAACATTTTGTCTGTGGAATGGGTGGATTGCAACATTTGCTCTGTTGAAAAACTCCCCTTTATTTCTAAGATAAGGTAAATGATGGAAATCAGTTGCTAGCTCACTGCCCACAGCCAAATGCTACAGTACCAAAAAATATGAAAAAATAAAAGATGATCGAGTGCATAAAAACTATTTTGTACTGGTGATGGGCACTAAGAAAAGCTTCCAACATGCCAACAGTCTTATCAGTACCTGTTATCGCTGCTGGTATGTTTTTCTGACAGTCATGTATTGCAAAACAAGGCAAAAATCACAATAGTACTGCTTTGGCATACCAGAGTCGTCTTATTTTTCTTTTTCTTAAACTACCCAGAAAATCGATAAAGAATCAGGGATACAAGCACAGTCAGTACTGGAGTTGGTATCATTAAAATCTTATCAATTACCCAATTCTTTATCTAAAGTAGGAAAATTTTTCATCCAGGTGACCTAAAACTCAACACAGTACTTCTGTGATACCCCAGCAACACACCTGCATGATGTAAAATGATCCGACTTGTTGAAAAACATGAAGAATGAACAGAAATGCATGTAAAGAAGGCACTTTTGGATAACAGAAACTATTTTCATAATGTAATAACTGTTGGAGGTAGTATACGTGTTTTTACTTCTACAAACCACTGAATTGAGGACCATCACATCTCTCAGAAATCTGTTTTTAGGGTCTTTTGTTTTAAGCTTCCATCATGGACTGGGTACTTTCTTATCATAAGACAAAGGTTTTAAGATATGTGCAGATGAAAGTGTACCTTGTTTGATTAAACACAGGAATCCACCACCAAAATTTCCCATTTTTAAAAACAGAGAAAATGAAGAAGCTGAAAACAGGATTAACAGAAACTAAAGAATGAAAACATTAGGTGGTGTCCTAGCCTTGCTTCAGTTCCTGTTTGTGAATGTGCATCTACTGTTGATCAAAACAACTGCTTGTAATGTATCTGCTGAGCCCTCCCAACTGCTAAAGTGTTCGGTCCAAAAGCAGCCAAACATTTCTCCGTTTAACAGAGAGATGAATTCTGATATTATTTAATAAAGTTTAATTTGATGTCATGTAGTGACTGTGATGCTAATTAAAATCTAGACCAACCTTTTGCCAGGATGCTTGAGAACAAGACGCTCTTTTCACTGTTTGTATCTTAACTGTGTTATTTCCCCCCACACCCCCACCCCTATGCAGCCTATGGAGCTGGGAGAACACATAAACAGTTTACTGCTCAACATGTGTGATGACATTACATTGAGTCGAATATCACTGCGCACAGTCCTGGACATCTCCAGCAAACACATCCGAAACTCCAGCTGTGACCCTCCTTTCAGTTATATCAGAAGACTCGTCAGGACAGTGCTGGGCAGCCTTTCTCAGGTATAACATGTGATGATGTGTATATATAATGAAATTCCAGCATTCCTGTCTAAGAGTCCATATTTGCGAAACTGTCAGGAAGCCTTTATAGGAAGAATGCTTCTTAGCTAAGTGTATGTTAAAGACCTATAACAAGCTCTTCCAAAAGCACGCTAGGTTTGAATTATACAACAGGTGATGTGGTCATGCTGATAGAACATGTTTCAGGACATCTTCCTTCTTTCACCCTCACTCTTTGTTTTTCATTTTCTGTCTCTTTCACAGCTGGACGGTTTGCTGACTGACAGAGAATCTCTTCCGGAGCGGAGCAAAGAGATTCGGGAGAGGCTGAGGGGCAAAGGGTTGCCCTCAGGTAAGATGAGCTGCACCTAAGTGACACACAGTAACGTTGCAGTGGTGTGCTCAAAATCATTAATTTCCACACTGAGTCGTATCTATTGGCTGCAGGCGGATAAAAGGCTGCCAACGCGATAAGGTTTTTATTTATTTTTAGTGTCGAACTCAGCAAATATTAGTCCGTTGCACTTAAATGTTTTGTTTACCTACATTCTGTGTAATCATATGAGGGTCACAAGTTCAGCCTCTCTCTAAAACAAATCACCAGATCTTAGATAAGCAGGCTTTGTTTAGAACGTTTGGGAACACTTTGAAATTCAATTTGTCAAGCGAGTCCAGAGATGACCCAAAACATGTGTCCACTGATAGATACAGAGAATAACATTGTGACATGGAAGATTAAATAACAATCTGGTATATGTTGGATGAATAGTGAATTGCCATTGTGTTGAAGATTATATTGACAGTAGCCAAGTCTTCATCTCTGAAACAGCCAACTATGCAGGGTGCTTGTTGTTGTCGGTATAAAGTTATTCATGGAAAGAAAAACAATCAAATTGCGAAAGGGTGTTAGGGGTTCTCACAACTTACTGAGCTCCTTCTGTGGTGCCAGAAACCATGGGACACCTTCAGAGGTCCATAAGTCGTTTAAAATGTTTGGCAAAACACGAAAGAACGGCAGCTCATGGGGTCATCGTAATATGCTGGCCTGGTGGTTTTACTCACCCCTAATCTTTAAGCTGTGAGGGCTTAACAGTTTATGCTGGTTGCCCACATGTTTATTAAAAATATATTTTAATGAAGAAAGTATCAAATGTAAATTGCTCACCTTGTTTTCTAACCATTTATCCGTGACATACTCAGTTTGCAGTCTGTGGGAAAGAAGTGAAAGTAGTCAGAGAGAGGAACACCAAGTTACAACCTCGAATCGGATTTAATTCAGGAAAATATGAACAAATCTTCCCAGTGGTTTCTGAGAGAACTCGGGCATTTTTCCAGGCCATGAAGAGGAGAGCAGAGCACAAACATGGCTTCCATCTCCATTATGTAAGCACGGCATGGCATTGATTACAGATGCATATTTTGGAGTCATCAGTGTAGCTGCTGGTCTCCTGTTTGTATCAGTGCTTTGTTTCCCTGGTTGATCCCCAGCCAGCCCTAGGGAAAGTACATGCAAAGAGTATTACTCAGTTCTTAAGCATCTTTCCTCTGAAAGGACCAGCTCTCTCTCTCTCTGTCACCCTTAACCCAGTGGCTCCAAGTTCTTATTGCTGCTTAGGGAATTCAGATATTGTCTTTGTTCCTTTTACACATGCTGTGCATGTCATCATTGTGATCGACTGGCAGCGTGTCTGGGAGTGTAACTCACCTCTTTGACAAATCAAAGACATGCAGCATAAATTTTTTTTTATTCCAGTTTTACTCAGTCAAGTTTTTTCAAGTTTCCTCCTGAGTTCCTGGAAGACTGGAATCTGGCTATCTTTAATGCATTTCCAAACATATGCTTTCTAGATTAAAACCAACCCACATGCAGGATTTTTATTTTTTTACAGGCCTCAACATCTGCCCGTTTACCCTCTTGTTTCTGTATTTCTTCCCTTTGTTTTGTTCCTGCATACTTCACTGGTTTATTTCTCACTAAAAAACAGACTTTACTAGTATTGTTTATATGCCTGGAAAGGCAAACTTTAAATTTATGGATGGTGAAAGCAAAAGTTCTTATTCGGGGAAAGGCAGTGCTAGATTGTAAGATGCTTGTGGCAGAAATTGTTAGTTATTGGGCCACAATTTGGTTTCCTTTTAAAACAACGGAAAAATAGTTTCTCAACAAACTGAGGAACTGTAGTAATATTAGCTTTTTATTCCTTGGGCTGCTGTTGTTTGTTTTACATGCAAAAGTGTAACAGTCATATACTATTGGACACAAAGCAGCTATTTTAACACTTGTCAGCCTCTGTATCTGCTTGGTGTTTAAAATTTTTGGTTCTCCCCTGCTCTTAGGGAGGAGTGCTGCCCCTCGGGTTCTGGAGCGCTACAGAGCGAAGACTCAGGAACAAACCTCTCTAAACCGAGGCCTTAGTCGTTCCATGGGCTCACTGCCAATCCAGGATCTTTTGAAGGGGGATGATGGGGCAGCTTTACAGTATTCCCTGTCTGATTATCACACCAATTCTGACTTACCCAGTGAACTCTACCCAAAGCCCCCCTCGCTCCATTCCCAGCGTTCTTATCCCTATCTGCACCCCTTTCACCCCCAGCAAAAAGGCCGGCCTGTGGAACTGGACCGTAGATCTCTGCCTTTCTCCAGTGGGGAACTGAAGCTAAGTCAGCCCAGGAAGACCTGGGCTTCCTCTGTGGACTTGGCTTGCATTGACCCAGAGGCTCTTCGCTTTGGGGCTTTGGAGGATGCAAGAAGAGGCAGTAGTGCCTTAAGTACACACTCCAGTGGCAGGCGCAAATCACCTTTGCAAGCTTTAAGAGAAAGGGATTCTCAATACCTTGAGTTTGGTGGGCTGAACAGTCGGAAGCCTCATCACCACTCAGCCTTGTCTGTAGGCTCGGGCATCACCGGTGCCTATGACAAGATCAAGGAAAAACAGAGGAAACTTCAGGCGCTAAGACAAGCAGTGGATGGTGAGTATGCTGAAGCTAGGGGTTTAATTTAATAGAGAATTTGTACAAATGAATGTTTTCAGGGTTAAGTTTGTGTTGTTGTGTGTTTGTTAAATTCCTTGGCAAATTTTCAAAACAAAATACGAACCAGAATCATGTAATTCAAAGTGGTATCACGTTGTGGTTGTGACGCCTACTGTGGACAACGTGTTGTGAATGATTTTCACTTTTAGGAAAAAAACCCATCATGGCAGTTTTGGCCTTTTCTTGGAAGCTGGCGCTGATTTAATATAAACAGAATGACTAACAAGCTGTTGTTTTCATTCCATGGGATGTTTTTTCAATGTAAGCCTTTCCTTATTTCAACACATCACAAACAACAAGCACCTGGTTGCTTTTGGTCATGTGTGCTTAGGAGTCCTTTGTCGGAGCATACAACATGTGGCCTATAGTGTGTAAAAATGTAAGATTGCTGTTATGTGTGTGGTTGGCCACAACAAATTTCTTGGGTTTAGTCTGCAACTGTGGCGAGGAAGGAAGTCTTAAGTAAAACAGACCAGTTCAGGGTCACTTGATGTAAGTGAAGTGTCAGACTCTGTAGTGCATGGATTTATCAGGCACAGCATGGAGTCATCAGCTGACCTGATCTGAAAGACAAAAATAAAGTGAAAGCAACGGGATCAAGTGAGCAACCAAGACAGTTGGACTAGTTACAAGTTGCGTATTCATCTGTAGTAACTACCACCTAAGTGTTGTGAAGTATGGGGAACCGGGTGCTGGCTTGGTGGTGGCTGGGCAGCAAGGTTTAGACAGAATGACTCATTGCTACAGTGACCAGTAATTATAGGTTGGCTTAATTCTAGCCTGCTGCTGACTGTCAGAGATGTTATATACAAATTCCCTTTAAGAAAAAAAAAAAAAAATTTTCATGGCTATAAACATGCATATAAAGGATAGATGCGAACTAGTTACATACTTTCAGTGTGTACAGACTGAAAGGAAAATAGTCTTAAAATAATAGCACAATGCTTAAATCAAGGACATCAAGCAGAACTGTTTAACACGTCAGTCATCTGTTATAAGAGCTTTAAGTTTCCTGTTGGAGATTATGAAATTCTTAGTAAAGTAAGTTTATGCAGTGAGTCACATGTCTCTTGGCCAGCTGAGAGCCGTTTAAGGCGCATGAGGCTTGAACGATTTCATACAATAAACCACTGTCTTCTACCTCTTGCTCTCTTGCTGTTCTTGCAACATCCCCACTCTGTGCTCCGTCCAGCCTTCAGCCTCCCTGCTTTTCTCGCAGCTATTTTTGATGCTGACTGAACCACCAACCAAGCATTCTTTTCCTCGACTGTGGCTTTTCATCCCCCAGCAAGTACCTTCTTGCCTTCTTTTCTTTCACTCCCCTTTGCTTTGTATCGATTGTAATTTAGAGGATTTAAGGGTTTGTTTGTTTTTTTTATTTTTTTATTTCTTCATCTCATGAAAGTGCAAGACTTTGTCACTTCACAGCTTATGGGTAGCATGAGCAACACCTTCATATAACTGCTAAGATGACACAAAAACAAGGTCCAGATTTAAAGAGTCACTAAAAAAGTCCAGCAGATATTTCCAATTTAAGATCCACAAACTGAAAGAAACTTAAACTAAAGCTTTGGGATGACTGCCACACGCTGCAGGCTTTAACACTGTGGTAAATATTTTTTTTTAAATTGGGTTTTTTGGCAGGGATTTTTGGGGAAAAATGGCATTACTGTTGTGTTTGTGATTGCTTGTGAATGTGCAACGAAGACTGAGTGGGTTGAACTATTCATTAATATTAAATGATGGATATTACAAAGCATCCTGGAGAGAAGCTTTGTTTACTGCCGTCAGAAGTGACTGAGGGTGTCTGCGAAGGGTGAGCCAACTGTTCTTTGGCTACACCATGAATGGGGCCTAATTGAGTACAAACCATTTGGAGGGGGCCTTGTTGGATGTGTTTCTTGGCAGAGACATCTTTTCCTTTTCTTTTTTTCTCTCTCTCTCACTTCTTTCTGTTCTTTTCTGCAGGAAAGTGATGGCACAGCAGTGGTCAGTGGTCTCAGGTTTTACAGGGTTAAACAGCCCTTGACTGCCCTTCTGTGTGTGCGTGCATTTACAAGTCTTGTCTAAATGTATTGCAACGCTCACGTTTGTGTGCTTGTGTGCATGCCTTTGTGTGCATGGGCATGTCTGTACCTGGGCTCTTCTGTCTCAAACAACCCCCACACACCATTTTTGGTGTCAGTCTTAAATAAGTCAAAGCTTTCCTTGTCGAACTGGAGGCTGTAATAGGAGTCATGCGTAGCAGATGAGGGAATTCCTAACATTATTGGACTTTTCCGGCACTTGGCAGCAGATTATGTGGGTTTCTGCCGGGGTGGGTCCGTGTTGGACAGCAGTACAGAACACTGCTGCTCCAGAGGAAGGGGAGGTGTGTCTGTAAATCACAGCCTTTTGAAATTGTCTTAATTATTCTATTTGAGTCAGCAGGAGATGAGATTGCTGAGTGTTTTTTTTTTTTTGTGGAAAGCTGTTGACTGTTTGTTATTTCTAAACCATTTGAGCTACCTAACATATTTCCTCTTCACATTATGAATAATGTCCAATTATTTAGTGCTCCGAGGGACTAAATAACCTCAGAGCACAGTCAGAGTAGGGTCTTTTTCTCAGTGTAAAATACTTAAAGACTGAAGGACTGTAGACACTTGTAGTACATGCAGAGGTGTCACCTACATAAAGTCAGATCATGGAGATAAACATGTATGTGAGGACAAATGAAAGATGAAGTGCAGCCTGGAGAAAGCTTGGTGGTGAAGGCATGCTTTGATAATTCTTTCCTAGAATTGATGCTCTTTGCCTTAAAGTATGTAGAGACTGTTATGTAGAGGCTGCTTTTCCAGCAAGTTTGTGGGGAGTGCTCTCTCTCCTGCAAAGTATTTCCAGAAAACAAAACATACGAACAACAGAAGTACTCATCTTTTTTTCTGTCATTACAATCTTTAAGAAAAAGAAGGATTTTATTGCATTATTTATTTACCTTTACGGTTTCCTTTATATTTTCCTGTGAATGAAGCTGGTATAATTGGTGGCACTGAGAATGAGCTTTGCACTACATCTTTTTTGAACTCGGCATTTTTCTAACCCTTCTGTTCCTTTGCTTACTTATAAACATTTACATTATGAGGGAAATCTCACTCTCCACTCAGCTGTTATCATCTCTGTTACTTTTTGAAATTACCTAAAAGCACCGACTGACACACTGAAAGGTTGGTCCTGGGGATTATTTGTTTTTTGGGTTTTTTTTGGGGTGATTTGTTTTTTTCTTGTCTTTGTTACAACTAACTCATTTAGTGCTGTTTCCATGACCAAAAAGAGTGTGTGGCACATGAATCATCTTAAATCTGTATCCAGATTCAGGTTGCCACATTCATAAAAATATATTTATATTTTGCGTGGGTCAGCACAGTGTGGTAATCTCACAGCTGGGCTCAAACTTTTCTGCATGGGTTTTTCCAGGTGCTTCGGTTGCTTCCATAGACCAAAGACAATCGGGTTAGATGAGGAGGAAACTCGTAAGTGTGGTTGTCGTGATTGACCAACGACCTGTCAAAATGGGTGCCCCGCCCTGGATGAAATTTATCTGGGATAGGCTCCAAGCTTTTTTCTGTTATTTTTAGCACCTCCAGGACCTCACCAGACTTAGGGAGTCGGGGTAGGGGTTGTTTTGTTGTTTTTTTGGGGGCTTTTTAACAGTGGGGTTATAATTCCTTTTTTTTTTTTCTCCCCCCTTGACAAGGTTGATAAAACTGAAATAACCTCCAGTATCATTCTGACTTATAGCAAAACATCGTAGTTGAAATAGTAGAAGTAGATTCCTTTCAAATCTAATGCTTTATTGCTTTTTATCATGTTTCCTCCTTTCTGTGAAGCTCAGTAAAGTGTTGTTAAGTAATCCATATTGATAAATATGTTTTTTTTTATTAGCTGTTGTAAGCTCCTCTTCTTTGAAAAAGCTTTTTCATGATGATAATTTTTCTCTGCATTGTATTCTTCACCTCAGTGTTTCTAAAACTCACCTAAGTATAAAGGCAGGTGACTGCACGTATGTATGTCTCAGTGAGGGCTTTGAAGCAGAAATGTAAGTCATTGTGACTGCATGGGTAACTTACTGTAAATTACACAAGACTGCTCCTCTGTGCACCTTTTTGTGTTAAAGGAAATGAGTCACCGTCCACTGGAAGATGGAAAACTATTTTGGGTGATAGTCCAACCAGTCCTCCTTCCTCTAAGTAACATTATAGTGGCTGTCGGGCCACAATGCTTTTTTGCTTAACATGTTTACGAAAGACAGAGATCAGTACAAGGTGAACTCTGTTGTTTTGTGAAACTGTAAAATAAAATGCCTTAGCAGTGACTTGGGAATCCCATTCATTCAAGCTATGTAGTTGGTACTGAGGAGCAGGATTTTCAAGTTCTGTGTACAATGCAAAGAGCACATGATACATTAGGGTAGGTTTCAGATTGAATCATATTGTTTGTTTGTTTTTTCTCAGTTACCACAGATTTTTAGGTTATTATTAAGTTAATTGGGCTTTGCTTTGAGAAACATTTAAGTGTGGGGAACTGGTCTGTACTTGCTGTGGTGCTGTGGTTCACCCAGTCTAGCAAGACAAAAGTTTACGCCTTAAATTAAAAAAAAAAAAAAAAGCATTCTAACCTGACTGGAGGCATGCCTGCATACACTTGCTAAATCTGCTTTTCCTTGTAGGTACATATGCCTTTCATTAGGAGTGTTTACCCACAGCATGACTAAATCCTGCTTTGTGTGTATTATTTTACAGGCTTAGTGTCACTGTTTGGTTTCAGTAGATTGTGGAGTAAATGAAAACATGCGCCCATCAATTCATATGTTGTCCTAGCCCCATAAAGTCTCATACAACTTATTGTAAACCTCTGTTTTATGTAACATTGACAAATACATGGCTTCACCTTAACACCTTAATTTGTATTAAGTGCATGAAGTTATCCCTTTTGTTGTTATTGATGTTATTATTGTTATTACTATACTACTGTGTGGTTTGTATAATACATAATTTTCAAATGAATTTCTCTGTTGCCAGATCCAGTCCACACCCACCACAGGTACCACAGTGATTACAGTTCATCCAGTGAAAGCCCCTCACTCGCCTCCTCTGATCCAGATTACAGGCAAGGTAAAAGACGCCACTGACAAATCCTTTACTGCTATTACGCTTTTAATGGCGATCCCACCCACACACAGCATACTATGAAATGTAACTAACAGGTGATAGGTGCCGCACACATGTAACTCATCTTGGCTATGTGCATGCAAGAGAATAAATCAGTCACTTAATAATAACATGAGAGAGCCATACTGAGCTGTGGCTGTTCTGCTAATACTCAGTTTCCGCAGTGGCTTACGGTGACTTCATAGTGCACTTTTTAGGCTTAAAGCAAAGTGCCGCTGCTTTTGCTTGATTTAGAAGCACAGCAGCAGACCTGGCAGTTTCCCATGTTGAGGTAACTTCCAATCAACTGCTGTTATTTGATTGTCTGATGCCGCTAAACAAATTGCATGTTGCCTTTCACTATGTAAGATTGTCAGTGAAAAATGAAATTGTGCAATGCACCTTATTGTTATTGTAGTAGTAGTGTGCATAATGTTTTCCACACTAGGACTACTCAAGATTAATTCACTTAAAATTGTCAACACAACAGAAGGCTGAGCTAGTCAATGAGGAGTTCAGTTAAGATCAGCCTAAAGGTTAAGACATTAACTGGCTAACTTTTTCCATATCACTAAAAACAAATCCCTGCTGCAAAATTTAGTTAAAGGCCAAAAAGACTTGAAGCCCATTCTAATGTAACCCTGCACCAAAGTTTAACACTGAAAAAGAAACTTGTGGATCTATATTATTCACTAGAATGTAGTGGAATTCTAAAGCATCTCTAACATAGTTTGTGTTACTAAATCCAAACCTGTTTTTAAACATGCATTCAGTAATAACTTATAAGACAGAAAAGCTGTATGTCATTACTTTATTACACCTACCGTTGCTGTAATGCAGCACACTTTATTGCAAGGCAACAGAGATGCCATTTGTTGTGCTGATTTTACTCTTCTATAATTGCACCTTTGACAGGTATATTTGCAGCACCATGTGTGTGCGTGTCTGTTTTACTATAAAAATGTAAAAACAGCATTTAGCCCTTTGGCTTTTTTGTGCACCTCTATGCTTGGATGCTTTTGCATCTTTTGGGGGGGGGCGTTCTCTTTATGTTTAAAAAAATAAATAAAAAAAATGCCACTAGCCTACTGGTGACTGCAGAGGAAAATTAGCCTGTATAGCTAATTTTGGCATACTTACATAATGGACCTAAGTATTCATGTTAATTGATGTGTATTTTCCTTTGTTTTTGTTTATTGTACTGACATTCTGCTGTCTTTTCTAGCTAAGAAACCTGGTGAAATTGGCAGGTATGGCTCCCAGCTGGCACTTCTAACCGAACATGACGCGTTGGCGCTGGCAAGCCACAATGCAAACAGACACAGGTAATGCCCAGTCTCTCCCACCCCCCCTCACGTGCCCCTCACCCATCCCACCCCCACCTCACAAATATCCTGGTGAATGTGGAAGCTATCCTGTTTGGTACTCTAAGCCACAAACATACAGCTGGTGTGGCTTGGCAGGGTCAGCTCCATGCTTCACTAGTGAGGTCATCTAATGTGACATCCACATTCAACATTCTCTGTCTCTCTCTAATCTCTGGCATCAGAACTGCCTGCTGTTGTTCAGCCTGCTCAACAATTTGTCCCACAGCAGAGCCCCTTTTTCTTCCCTTTTTCCCCAGAATGCTAAAGCGAAAACATCAGCTGTACACAAAAAGCCATTTTGCTGCTAGCTTTAAACTTGTCCATTACATAAAAAATGAAACAAAGTGTCCAAATAGAAGACGTATCTTCACATAAACCCCACCACACACTCACACAGAGAGAATAGCTTCCTTTCTGCTTATAGACAGCATCAGACTCTTCTGACACCCATCCTCTTCTCTTCTTTTCCCTGCAGGCAAAATGAGGGGGGAGCTGATGACACTCTGGTTGGAGCAGAGTTGCTGCTGCAGAGGCAGGAGGAGGAAGTGCAGCGGCTTCAGGCCCACATGGCCCACAGGCTGTCCAGGGCCAACCTCTACCCCACAGATGACCCCTTGGCCCTTCAAGAGTCTCTCTATACCTCTTCTGTACCTCCACGCAAACTCAAGGTTTGCACATGTAGCAGTATTACTGATGTTCTGTTAATTATAATCTTTCTTGCAGTTTTGGACTTTTTTTTTCTTTACAAAAACATTCTTATTTAAATAGAAAGGCTCTTTAATCACTATGGAGCACACTAACTCTAGAACGGCATCCAAGTTCTGAGCATTTGTGGCCTTGAAGCGTGTCTGCATTGCAATATTTGATGATGGATGTATAATTTAGACTCACATGAGCTCATTGGCAGCAAACTTGTTGATGCTCTAAAGATGAACTGCTGACTGGAGTACATAATTCATTTCAGCCTCCTTATAGTAATTAAAAGTATGTAGGATTGTGGGACGTGTGGATTTTTTTTCCCCTCCCTTTTTTCCCTTGTGGGATGGTCTAATTTGGCAGTATTTACCAAATACCAAATAGTAGTTACCATGCTTATCAACACAGTTGGTAAGCATGGTAACAATTGTGTTGCTGTTCCCAGTATACCCTAAATAGTATAGAATATTATATTGCCAATAAATTAAGCACCCTTGCTAGGACTAGACTTTTTAGTGTGTTTGTGGTTGATTATAATTGGTGGAATTTAGGAAATAAAGGTTTCCAGTTGGAAAAACCTACAGCATATGAGTTAAGGAAGAGGAGTCCTGCTCTTCTGACTCATGTGAGATTCAATTATAGCAAAAACACAAAACAAAAAAATCAACAAGGAAATGTGTACAACACTATAAAGCATCGCAATTGGTCACTTTATGAGTTATACCTTTTTTAGAACCTGGTTGTACCCGTTCTGCTTTCAGAGTATCTTAATTCTTTGTGTCACAGATTCAACAAGGTGCTGGAAACATTATTCAGAGATTTTGGTGGATATTAACATGATGGCATCAGAGAGTTGCTTCAGATTGGTCAGCTGCACATCCATGATGCCTATCTGCCATTCCACCACATCCCAAAGGGGCTCCATTAGATAGTGATCTGGTCACTGTGCAGGCCATTTGAGTACAGTGAGCTCATTGTCATGTTCAGGAAACCAGTTTGAGATGATCTGAGCTTTGTGGCATGCTATCCTGCTGGAAGTAACCGTCACAAGATGGGCATACTGTGGTCATAAAGGGATAAACGTAATTAGCAGCAATACTGAAGGTGGTTATGTTGTTTGGTACTAAGAGGCCCAAGGTTTTCCAGAAAAAATATCTCCCACATTATTACAACATTACCAGTTGCCTTGATACAAGGTGGGATGGATGCATCCTTTCATGTTGTTAAGGCCAAATTCTGACCCTTCCATCTGAGTCTCTCAGAAGAAATCAAGAATCACTGAACCAGGGAATGTTTTCCAATCTTCTGTTGTGCAATTTTTATAGTGAGCCTGTGTGAATTTTGGCCTTCGTTTCCTGTTCTGAAATATTCAGTCCAGCACATCTGGCACCAACAACCGTGCCACATTCAGAGTGACATGAATCCCCCTTTCTTTCCCCATTCTGATTTTCAGCTTGAACTTAAGCAGGTCGTTTACACCATGTCTCCATGCCTAAATGCACTGGGTTGTTGCCAAATTACTGGCTGATTAGATATTTGCATTAACAAGCAACTGAGTAGGTATACCTAATAAAGTGGCAGCTTAGTGTGAAGTATTTGTGTTATGCATATTTTATATCATGGGTGAGAGGGCAGTTGTAATTTTCAAAAGACCCTTTAGTGTGCTGGTAAAATAAAACTTAAGTCTAACAGTGACTTTTTTATTATGTGGTAGAACTTTCACGGACCCGAGTTTGTGAAGATGACCAGCGAGCCCTGCGTGCCCTTATCTGTTCCCTCGTCAATAATGGTGAGAATGTAAAATTATGCCATCTTGAAGCCAAAGAATTCATATTTTTATATCTGTTTGTAAACCATTACTCCATGCTTTGTATTCTTTAACTCAAGAAACGTGGGAAGGTGGAAGAAGTGCAGAGGAAGGTGGGTGTGGTACTGCTCAATGGCCAAAAGCTGGAGCTGAGCTGTGACATCAAGGCAGTGTGTAAAGACGTTTTTGACATGGTGGTTGCTCACACTGGACTTGTGGAGCATCATCTCTTCGGCCTCGCATACCTCAAAGGTATTGTGTGTTTGAGGTGTGTGTGTGAGAGAATGGATGTGATCTTGTGTTATTTTGATAAGTGTTTCACAGTTGTTCTTTGTTTGTTTAGTCTTTAGTAGTTGCCCCCAGAGGTCTTAATTCTCACATAAGAAAAAAGCATTTTAAAAGTTCTTTAAAATTAACTCAAATTGTATTTGAAATAAATGTTTCCATTTTTGAAGTGGAAAGTTTTAAAGTGTATAAATGCACATAAACAAATATCGGTTTGGTTGGTTTTAGTTGTTCATTTTGATCAATTTCCTGTAAAGATGCAAAACTTAAGCCAGCCTAACTTGACTTTCTAACCCTTTCATCCTGAAAATCACACACAGAAAATGAGTTTTTCTTCGTTGATCTTGATGCCAAATTATCCAAAGTGGCCCCAGAGGGATGGAAGGAGGAGTCCAAGAAAAGGAGATCTGACATGCTTTTTAACCTTTTTTTCCGCATCAAATTCTTCCTTGAAGATATCAACTTAATACAGTAAGTGCACATTTTGCACACAATTAGCTGGAAAAGCCAAATGTGTGCTGTCGTTACATAAAGAAATAACAGTGTGTTCATGTTGGCATATTAACCGCTTAAAGTGATTTTCTGTGGATTCTAGGCACGCATTGACCAAACATCAGTACTACCTACAGCTGAGGAAGGACATCTTGGAGGAAAGAGTGCGCTGCGGCACAGAAGATGCCACGCTGCTGGCTTCTCTGGCATTGCAGGCTGAATTTGGTGACTATCAACCTGAGGTACCCACTCAGCTGTTTATCTGTTTGTTATCAGTCAACTAAAAGTTTCTTTTCTCGTATGACTTTTAAAAAAA